GACAGCCTTTTCCGCAGGCCAGTGAAAGCTGTGCTCCCACAGAGGAGCCCACAGAGTGCCTGGAAGGGCAGAGGAGAAGCGGAAGGGGAAGTGGGGATGGGTGGGAACCCCGAGCTGGGAGGGAATGGAGGTGGGGAAGGTTTCCTGGAGAAAGCGGTGTCAGAGCCGGGGCTTTCCCCAGCCACCTGGCAACTCTGTGACCTTGGGCAGGTCACCTAACCTCTGTCAGGCTGCTTCTCGGCCATAAAAGGCGGCCTGATCCGGTGCAGGATGTGGTGGGTGTGAGCGGAGCGTGTCCGCAGGGAGCGCTGTTGGTGTACAGCGAGCGCTCGGTGAACACTGGCCACTGTAGTTGTCATTTAAATATTATTATTACACCATTCAAAACACGAGAAAAAGCCTTATCTCAATTACTAAGTAACTGGTTTATTGTAGAAACTTTTTAGAATACATTAATAGAAAAGTATTACCCACACCCCACCCCCAAAAATAAAACTCACATCTCAGGGCTAACCACTGGTTATATTTGGTGTATTATTTTCTTATTTTTTAAATAAAAAACAAGATCATACTCACTTTATTCATTTCATATTATGTTTCATTATGCCATTAGTGGTTTCACACGTATTTTTTTAATCAGCTTCATTGCACTTTTCGTTAAATAGCTGTCACAGTTTGTTTAATGGTGCCTATGTGATGTGCATATTTGGTATATTATATACAGTGTCGTCATGAACAATTTTATAGAATAATCTGTGCCCATCCATGGGATTTCTTTCTTCTTCGAAGCTATTTATTTCTCTCATGAGCAGGAAAGAGAGAGAGAGACAGAGAGCCAGGTCAGCCCAGAGCCAGGCGTGCTTAGGGAAGTCTCCGGACGCCAGCCCAGGCCCCTCCGCGTGGGTCAGCACTGCTGCAGCTCACCACTCTGCCCCCGTCCAGCCCGCATGGCAATTTCTTGAGGACCAGTTTCTAGAGATGGAATATTTGGATCAAGGAATATACATACTTTTTAAGGGTCTTGATACATACTGTCTGTAGCCCAATAGTATCAGAGTGCATTGTCTTTCACCCTTGCCAACGCTGGGTACCATTGTTAAATACATGCATCGATAAATCTCTGCTGATTCGATGGCTGAAACATCCTCCACTGTTGTAATTTGTGTGTCAGGGAATTGTGACTGCTCTGTTCCTTTTGTTTTCATTTTTGCTTAGAGTGATATTTTTGCTATAGAATATGTGTGCTCACTGGGGAGACAGAGACAGAAAGCAAGAAATCACTCCCCAGGGTGTATGGCCACGCCGCAATCCCTTGTCCTCCATTCTCCTCTTGAGATTTTGGGCTTGCATGCCCACTGCCCAGTGTGAGTTTCAAGCCACCGGGTCCAGGACTGGAACCATGATCAGCCCTGTGGAAACACTCTTCCCTTGGCTTCAAGGACACCCTTTCTTCTGTTTCTGCTCTTCCTTCTCAACTACTACTCCCTGTCCACTTCTCCTCACATTTATTTATTTATTTCTTGAAAGAGAGGGGAAGAGAGACAGCACCCCCAACAGGGGCCTCACCACGATCCATCCTAGTTTCAGCCAGTCAGGATCACCGGACCACGATCTCATTGGGTATGGATAGGGAGGCCTCAGGACTCGAACATGGGGCCTGCCCACATGGGTCCAGTCGTGTCACCACTGCATTACTTCTGGCTCCCTCCCTGCTCACTTAAACACAAATGCTCCCCGGGCCTCTCCATGATCCTGTTCTCACTTCCGGCTTTCCGCCGGGCCCTGCACTCCTCCATTGGAGACTGCAGTGCCTTCGTATGGCCATGCCTGCCTCCCAGATATACTGGCAGTGCAGACCTTCCTCCCGAAGCCAGCGCTTGTAGCCAACCAGATGAGACATGGCCAAAGCTAGAAGCCTGGGAGCCCGAGTAGCTCCCTCCCTCCAGATGGCAGTCCAGACTGCTGAGTCTACCCTCAGATGCCTCTTGAATCCCCATCTTTCTACGCCCTCTCACACTTAAATGTTCCATGTTGCTCTCCACCCTGGATGACTGGTCTTGTTTATCATCTTCTTCCCCACCCATCCCTCACTCCTTCCCCAGAATGAATTTCTAGATAAAAATCTGCTAAGTCTAAATGGCTCAGCTTCCTTCCATGGCATTTCATTGCTTGGAGGGGTGAATTTCCTGCAAAGGACTTTTGCAGGAAACTGTATTTCCCCACCTTGGGAGAGCCGTAATCCGGTTAGCATTCCCTGCACCCAGAGAAACCCTGCAGAGAATGAAACACATTTCACTTTAGCTCGTTAGTGTCTCCCAAGTACATTTGAGTGTGTTCCTTGTTTTTCTGAGGATCACATCTTAAAGACCAGGAGGACACTAGCTGATCGAGTGCCCAGGGCTCAGTGGTCTGGCATTGTCCCCTGGTCCCTGATGCTGCACCCACTCCACAGTCGCGATGGCCGCTGGCCTCATACACTTTGCTGTGGTCTCCCTCCTGTCCTGCTGTTGAGACTTCTGTCCATTTAAACGTGTGGCTACCAAAAATCTCCAGATCCCCTCTGCCTGTCCCATCACATGCCACCTCTGTTCCCTCTAAGATTTAGCTGAAGCTCACCTCCTCCTTTGAGGGCACATCGATCGCCCCCTCCCCGGTCTCCCAGCACACTCCTTTTATCAAACCAGGGTCCTCATTTACTCACGTCTGCTCCCTGCACTAGGCGGGGAGCTTTTCCGGGCAGGGACTGGCATCACGGCTCATCTCCAGGTCTCAGTGTCGGGCTCAGGTTTAGGTGTCAGTAAATACCTGCTG